TATTCTCAGCTCTGCTACTAACATTCTCCATGACCTTCAGCAAATCTCCACTCTTCTCCTTGTCATAGCTTCCAAAAAGTAACTTGAGGAAATAAAACTGCACTTCCTGATTGACCTAGTAGTTAGGAATAAACCTGGGGTTACTAAACTGGATGTATCACCTTTCTTATAGGCCATTCCCCCTGCCTTTAGGCTACTGGAAGTCCTGCAGCCAAATAAATGTTATTTCAGTTCTGCCTTTTATCTAGGTAAATAGGAGTTAATGAGTTGCTGCATCTCATGGCTGGCTTGTGACATGGAGGTCTCCAGAGGGAGGACGAGGAGAGGCTGCCATGGAAAGTCCCTGGCTGTTGCTAAAGAGCACAGCATTTTAGCTTCCCCATCTGGAAGTCTGTGCTCAGGTTTGGCAAGGAAAAGGAAAACCGAGGAATGGAAAACCATACAAAGATGCTTGACTGACTTTTTGTAAAGCATGGCTTTACTGTGCTGGGTGCAGAGAGCGTGTGGTTGCAAGTGAGGTGGAAACAATTTGATTAAATAGAATAATATTTGATAACTGGCCTTCTGTTTATTCATTCTCAGCTGCAGCATCATGTGGCTGGCTTGTTCTCTCTCTGCCTGTCCCTCCCTCTGTTTTATCTTATGATGATCTTGGACCCTTGCAGTGAAGCTGGAACAGTGCAGCACAAGTGATCTTGCTCCACTTCCAGGCAAAGTTGAAGTAGGAAAACCAAGCAGTTCCAGAGTTTCCTCTGAGGTTTGCGCTCCAGTTTTACAGCCTGCTGATAAGGGGATGCTATCTTTCCTTCAAGAGGCACACCAGAGATCAATATTAACTAACAAAACCTGTTATGTAGGGCATCCTGCTGCTGCTGCTGCACAATGCAACCTCTTTGAACTGTAGCAATAGTGCAAATAGTGGTAAGATTCTTGTACGATTAAAGCTCATCACAACAGCATTGATAAAAGAGCACCTCTGTTTTCTGCTAGAAGCGTAGGACTTGGGATACAGTTGAGCACTTTAATTCCTCTTGGTAGAGTCTGGCTGGTTGTCCATCCACCCACAGCCTAGTTCAAACTTTTCAGTCAGTCTTTGTCATCATTGTGGAATTGCTGTGTCTGTTATTCTTCCCTATGCATTTTAATAGAAGGCCAGGATGAGTAAATTTAAGGTCTTTCTGCCTCTGCTAATTTGTGGTTGGGGAAATAATGTCTTTTGTTACACCGTGATGGAGCCATTGGGGGATCTGTGGATGGGACCTTGTTAGGTATTGGGCCCCGCTGGGCTGCACTGGAAGGTGTTGTACTTGCTCCCTGGCTGACGGAGTTGTGCTTAAAGATACTTTACTCCTTTAGGCAGAGGATCCTGTGGTGTTACAGAGACACTGTGAAATTTGGTGTCGCAGCCTTGCTCATCCTTGGGGGTTCAGCCAAGTACCCACTGTAAAGCTCAGCTTTGCAGCAACATGGAAAATCTGAGAGGCTTGCCTGAAGCCACACAGCTTGTAGTCAAATGGGATACAGCAGAGTATGTGGTATGTCCTGCTGTAAAAGTGCTCTTCCCCTAAAGGAGGGGGCTTGAAATCAGGAGTCTTGATTCTCACTTTCGCTGCTTGATGCTACTTTCTCATGCATTTTATCCCACCAGTGGGCTTGTGGCTTGAGCCATTTACCTTACTTTTCCTTATGCTCTTCAGCCAAGATTTCAGAGCAATCTAGAAGAAGAGCTTATGGAGAGACCAAATCACAGAATATTAGGAGTTGGAAGGGACCTCGAAAGATCATCCAGTCCAACCCCTCTGCCAGAGCAGGATCACCTAGACTAGGTCACACAGGAACGCATCCAGGCGAGTCTTGAATGTCTCCAGAGAAGGAGACTCCACAACCTCTCTGGGCAGCCTGGTCCAGTGCTCCGTAACCCTTACAGTAAAAAAGCTTTTCCTAATCTTCAGATTGAACCTCCTATGCTCCAGCTTGCACCCATTGCCCCTTGTCCTGTCATTGGCTGTTTCTGAGAAGAGCCTGGCTCCTTCCTCCTGACACTCGCCCTTTACAAGTTTATAAACATTAATGAGGTCATCCCTCGGTCTCTTCTTCTCCAAGCTAAAGAGACCCAGCTCCCTCAGTCACCCCTCGTAAGGGAGATGCTTCACTCCCTCCATCATCTTTGTGGCTCTGCACTGGACTCTTTTTCAAGCAATTCCCTGTCCTTCTTGAACTGAGGGGCCTAGAACTGAACACAATATTCCAAATGCGATCTCACCAGGGCAGTCGACCTACTAACAACCCGCCTTCTGATACACCCCAGGAGGCCATTGGCTGCCCTGGCCGCAAGGGCTGGCTCATGGTCATCCTGCTGTCCACCAACACCCCCAGGTCCTTTTCTGCCTGGCAGCTTTCCAGCCACTCATCCCCAAGCCTGTAGCCCTGCATGGGGTTATTGCGACCAAAGTGCAGGACATGGCACTTGGCCTTGTTGAAGCTCATCCAGTCGGCCTCAGCCCATTGATTCAGCCTATCCAGGTCCCTCTGCAGAGCCTTCCTACCCTCAGGCAGATCAACACTCCCTCCCAACTTAGTGTCATCTGCAAACTTGCTGAGGGAGCACTCAATCCCCTCATCCAGATCATTGATAAAGATGTTAAACAGGACTGGCCCCAAAACTGAGCCCTGGGGAACACTGCTTGTGACTGGTCACCAACTGGATTTAGCTCCATTCACCACAACTCTCTGTGCTTGGCCATCCAGCCAATTTTTAACCCAGCAAAGCGTATGCCTGTCCAAGCCATGCCCAGCCAGCTTCTTCAGGAGGATGCTGTGGGAGACGGTGTCAAAGGCCTTACTAAAGTCCAAGTAGACAACTTCCGCAGCCTTCCCCTTGTCCACCAAGCAGGTCACCTCGTCATAAAAGGAGATGAGATTGGTCAGGCAGGACCTGCCCTTCCTGAACCCATGCTGGTTGTCCTGCCTGTGAAGTGTGATGGCTTTGCAAGACCTCACAGCTTTTCGCTTTGCCCTTCCTTGAATCTTTGGGGTTTCTCAGCCCCACCAAGTTCTCCTTCCTCCTCAGCCTTTTTCACTGCGTGGTTGCAGGGGGTCTTAAGAAAGGCAGTAACCTCACAGTAAATACCAGCCTTACAGTAATTGCTTTGTGACCTGGCTGGGAGCAGAGCCCCACATTGTTTTACAGGAGTTCCAGGAGAATTACTTGTTTCATGGGACAGCACAGCTTCAGATTAGTTCAGTTCAGCAGTTCCTGCTGTCATCCCTTACCTGGTTTGTGCAAAGACCTGTTGGGCCCTTTTGGGTTGGAAACCTTGGTGCTGCACTGACATTGCAGCCTGTGCTGCCAGGTCAGCCCTGGGGCAGAGGCTGCAGGCACCAGGCAGGGCTGCTGTTGAGCCCTTTGAGTAACAAAGACATCATTAGGATTCACCTGCTGAAGGATTACAAGAGAAAGCTCAAAATCCTTGCAGCACCTCCCTTCTCCGCCATGCATGTTTGGACAGTGAAATGCACTTTCCTTAGGCCCCAAACTACCCGTGTCCAAATTTCAAGACTTGCTGCAGTGCCTGTCTCTTTCTTCCAGATATGTAAGGGGGCCGTGAGTGTGCTGAGGGTTGGATTTTTAGATCCAAGAGGCTGGTGTGTGTAGAAGTGAGTGGGTCTCCAACACCTCTCCAAGTTTTGGGCAGCTGTGTGGCTCGGCACTGCAAAGATGTGCTCATGGGGTAAATGGCAGACAGTGGTGGAGGAGTGGGACTTCTTTCCCCACCTTTTCCAGCAATACTTTCTATTGAAAACATTAATTCTTTCACCTGACCACTGTCTTCAGGTTCTTCTTCTTCTCCATTTCTTGGGGATTGTTTGTATATTCTGGTTTTTTTAAGCTTTTTGAGTTTCCAAGGCTCCCTTTACTGTGCTATTTTTATCTTGTCTTCTACTGGAAAAAGCAGAAAGACTACACGCAAAAGAAGAGAGGAAGTAAAAAGGTATCACTGTTTACCATCCGTATTGGTAAGATGGTGGGATGTCTTTCTGCAGGTCTTCTGTGTTAAGAACTTAATCTGAAAAACACTTCAGTTGCTTTGTTAAAGAATGTGTATGTAAGGAGTGTTTTCCTACACTTCATTTAGCTTTCTAACTGTAAAAGGGTAGAAAACAGTCAGGAACTAGGAAAGTCTGTAATTTCTTTCAAAAACTGTTGAAGTTTTTCTGATGTATCTCCACCATCAAACTTTTCACTATGAAAATGTAGTTGAATTTTTTTTAATGGAAAAACTGTTTTCTCTTGAAGCCTTGGTTTTCCACTTTGTGTTTTTGGAATCTTTTTCAGAGGGAAAAGAATTATTTTATTCACTTGCCAACTTTCAAAGCACTGCCTCAGAACTGGAATAAAGCTGCAACTCACCTGTTTATTTCTATAGTTACACAGAGTAATTGCTGTTCTAAGTATATCCTGTTTGCTAAGTTGTGTGGTTTGTATGTCATGACAACTTTAATGGCTCTTACAGTATATGGCAAAAGGATTTAGGACTGTGGGCATGTGCTTTTTACCTTGTCTTTTAATTCTGCATACATAAACATAATGAAAATACCTGTTAAATAATGAACATCTACATTTACATTAAATACTATTTTTTTTTCTTCATAAAAGGAAGATAAATTCACCTGCTTCAGGGCAGAGATTAACCACTAATAGACAGAAATTAGGAAGAAACTTCCTTTTAGGCAGTTGTTCCATCTCTTGGTCTGTGGAATTTCTTGTACTTTCTTTTGAAATGCCACTGCCAAAGGACTCTGTACAAGTTGGGTGAGACAGTCTCAGATTCAGTTGATTACTTGATGGCCACCTCTGGTAGTTCTTAGTCTTTCATATCTCACTTAACCATCCACCTATCCTGTTTGCTAATTAACTCTTAATGAAAAGAGACTTACAACCTCCCTCTCTGTTCCTTCATGCTACTGCTACTAATCCTTGGATTCTACTTTTTTTTTAGAAGATGCTACTCAAGAAGAATTATGGAGCGAAGACTAGAGTTAATAAAATTCATGTAAGTTGTCCTTTTCTAGTGCAGTTCCTTCATCTTTCCACATTCGTCTCAATGTGGCAATTCTCTTTGAGTAACTGTACCAAGAAGACTATTTCTGGAGGTTTCCTGTGGCTTGATCGGCTGCATGACAAAAGTTGCTAGTCTGGGGTATAGACTGTAGTTTCAATTTAGGTTGGGTGCTTATGAGGCTAATAGTACATTGACTTTTCCATTTTGGAGACTATAGGTTCAAAGCTTCCTTGTAGTGGAAGTCTACATCCCCTGCTATAAGCTTATACAGTTATGCATAGCTGTCCTGTAGGGTGTCATCTGGATCCTTCTTGACTGAGGGAAATGCTGACCTGAGGTCACAAGTGGTGTTTGGGAGGGGTAAGACACTGATAGATAGCTGTGGAAAAGGGACTAGCAGTGTGGTATGCTGGTGTCTGCAGAACTATGTGGGATGTGGGCCTGGATGATGGCAGATGAGAGCTAGATTGCTTGGATTACTCTGCAGCTGGGATGAGACTGCAGTGTCTGAACATCTCCTGTTCTTGAGCACACATGTACCTAGAAGGGCTAGGTGTGTTCAACTCTCCTGCTTGTAGTTTTTGAGTCTTAACCTCTAGTACTCAATCCCCTGACTTCAGCCAACCCGTCTCTTTTGTGGGTACCTTGGCTCTCTTTTGCGCTGTATGGAGCTGTGTGGGAGATGTGTGTGTGACCTTGCACATTGCAGCCAAAACAAGCTCCTCAGTCCACTGAGCCCCATATGATCATCTATGTTTGCAATACACAGGCAAAAACAGGACAGGGTAAAGAAAACATATATTCTTCGTGGTAAAACTACTACTTTCACTGCAGTAACTATAGCCTTGTAACAGGGATGACTGGCAGACCAGGCATACCTTGCCCAGAAGGAAATGAGACTGATGCCTTTGTGTACCTGGAAGTGCTGCTGTTTATGGGCATGCTGTTGGGTGCCCATTGCTGAATTTGGTGAATTTAGTGTTTGAGAGGAGGAGCAGGTAGGGCTGGCTAGAGCCTTCTGCAGAGTTGGATGGTATTTCTCCAATTCCTCATGCCTTCTACCAGGGCACTTCACTCCTGTCTTCCAGCAGCCCCACAATGACCTGATACTTCTGATTTGCACTTTCTCTTGTGGTCCTGCCTGGATTGTTTTCAGTGGAGCTGTCTCCTCTTGTGCCCTGTGAGTTCTCCCCAGACTATGCCTGTCCTTCAGACCTACCAATGGTCTAAACCTGCTGCAGTGTTTTAGCGCAACTTATCACTTTCCTTTATCCCTGCTGGATGTGCTTTTGCTGGTTTTTTGGGGGTGTTTATTTATTTCCTGTGTCCCTGGACTGCAGCTGTTTCCATTGCTGCTTGCTGGCAGTCCCCTAGTCCCTGGCATTTCAGCAATGCCTTGATGGGGTGGTTCCCTCTGATACCTTGAGCTCATTATTGTGGCATACTCTTTTGCCCCTGGAAAATCTGAGAGGCAGAATTATCCCTTTGCTTCCTACTGAACCTGTCAGCTCACACTAAAATAAACAGCAGAAACTGAGAGCACATTATTCTGACAGATGGCACAGAATCTGTACTTCTCTGGCCAACCTTGCCAAGCTGGGACAGTGCATCTCTACCTGAGGTGCTTGTGTGGTTTCCATGACAATAGCATATGATACTTCAGCCTGTTGTTGGTCTGTTGTGGTGGCAGAGCTCTTAGGTAAAGGAGGATTTTAGTTTCCATTTTTCAAGTGGCTGCGAGTGCCTCCTTTTGTGTACCTAGCTTAAAAAGTAGGCAGCAGGTCCCTGGCAGAATACTGAGGTGCCTCAGCTCTAGAAGCGGCTGAGGGATCAACAGCTCTGAAGGATGATGCTGTGCTCCCATCATGTAAAGGGAAACCTCAATCTACCCAGTAAGACATGCTTGGCACAGGTTTCCTTCTCAGTGTTGCCCAGCAGCAGGACAAGAGGTAACAGGCACAAGTTGAAATGCAGAAAATTTAGGTTGCTCAGAGAAATTGTGGAGTCTCTGGGAGATACATGTCCATGGAGATACACAAAGCTTGCCAGAACACAGTCTTGGGCAATGTGCTCTTGCTGACCCCTTGCTGAGGAGGGGGCATTGAACTCAACTATCTTCAGAGGTGCCTGCCAACCTCCACTATTCTGTCGTTTCTGACTCTTGCCCAGCATTCAGTAATGGAGTCCAAGCACACTAGGGACCTTAGTTCACTGAGGGGGCCATTCTGAGGCCCTGCTGAATGTGGCCTTTTGCAAAGGATGACAGCAGGAGGCAAGGAAGAAATGAAGGCAGATAGCAGCAAATGAGCTGAGCTGTTACAGGAGGAACCAGACAACTTTGTGTGTCTAAACAGGAAACATCACTGTGTGAGCCAGTTTGCTTGTGTGACTATAGCCCTGAGAAGCCCTGATGCACAAGAGCTCTTGTTTCAGCATAAAGAGCATGCAGTATCTTTGTGAATTGAGATGGGCAGTGACATCCAGAGAGCATACAACTGGACAAAGATGCAGTGAGTGAACTGATGTGAGGAGCAGGCAGGCTTACCTAATGGCTTATGCCAGGAGTTTGTAGCAAGGATCCTTGTTTACTCCCCTCATTTCTCCTGCTGCTGAGTAGCTTGAAGGAGAAAGGATTATGCTTGTTTCCTCCTGTGCAAGGACAATGATGACAGTGACCTGCTAGTCACATCAATAAAGCATTTTCATACTGTTCTTGCTGAGGACAGTGTCTCATGTGGTTGTGAGATAATGTGTGTTTTTAAAAATACCCTCCTCCTGGCTGATATTTTGGTTTCCTTGACAACTCTGGGCTTTGTTGGCATGTCAGGATGCAAAGTGACCATGCATCATCCCAGCTATATTATTCTTCCCTCCTCTTCTGGAAGAGTCTCCTGTGGGAAGGTGAAATGGAGGGGCAGTGTCTTTGCCATCCGGCACTGAAACAGAGTTTCAGCCTTTGGAAACGTCGATGGTCCTTGAGAGTCTTTCTCAAGCAGGTGACAGGCTGGGTTTTACTTCTTCTCATGCTGTTTTAACACTAAGGTGCCATCTTGTAATCGTTCTCTGTTCTTCAGCTTCCTGTGAGCCAGCTCAGGCTGTGTTAGGCTACAGCCTTTCCACTTGCTTAGCAGTTTTTCTTACGTGAGATGATGAAGCAGTGATGTGACAAGTCTAAGAACCTACCAGAGTAAGGCAGAGAGATTAATAAACTTCCCAAATGTGCAGCAGCTCAGTCGTGTTTGAAATGCTGTTCAAGAATAGCAGCTGTGAGAGGTCAGGGCTTACAATGAAGAGAAACAAAATCTCTGTTCTGTTCCTCCCAAGTAGAGGATAATGGAACAGGAGAATCAGCCCCTGCGAGCAGGTTAGCAGAGATAAATTGGAGGTGACAGCATGTGTATGAAGTATGGATTTGTGCATAATGGATACATGTAGCATAACATGTGTCAGTGCAAGGTGTGGGGTAGACATGTGCCTACATGGGTGTAGTGCAGTGAGGTGGGGAATGTGTGAGTGCGGACCTGGTCACTGGTGCCCCAAAGTGTCGGCCAGTGTCGTGTCTCTAACTGGAAGCAAGGCTGTTAAGTGTAAGTGAGAGGGGTATGTGCACGTGCATGGGTATTTTAGCATCCAGAGCATGCTTGTATGATGCAGTTGGGTGTTGTGCGGAGATGCTTCCTTAGTGCTGGAAGGAGGATGACTGTACAGGCACATGCTCACAAGATGTAACTGCCTCCTCCCTGACCAGGCTTGGTCAGCTGTAACCAGCTCTGAATGCAGAGAACCATCTTCCAGAGTCTTTCTGTAATACCGCAAGTTTTCAGTTCTCCAGGCCCTCTTGGGATGAGGGTTACAAGTCTGTCATCTGGCCCTGTTCTTGTTCTTCCTTCACAACCTCCTACATGCAGTCTCTGAATGGGATTGGTGGAGCTGGACTTACCTCGGCAGCAGCAGGCAGACAGAAGACAACTGGCAAGCCCCTGGGTATTTCAAGAACTCTTGTTGGGGCAGGCAGAGAGGAAGTAAGGATTTCAAGGCCAATCTGATAACCTGGCTGATCAGAGAGATATTTTCTGCTATGTAAAAATAAAATATTAATTTTAAATTGGAACATAAACCTCTTGTGCTCTTGCCTTGATTTTATCTATGTTGTGAACGTTCTCTGCTTGGACTGGGGCCAGATCCCTGGAATGACTTCGCTGTCTCATCTCTTTTGTCTGTATCCTAAAAGGCCACTGCGGAAACATGCTGGATTTTCTTCTCCTAAAACAAGGGTCCTGTTCAGCTTGGAGCTGAGCCGGAGATATGGTGGCCTGAGCCTTCTTGGCAGAGGCCTGAGCTATTCACAAATGCAAGGCATACTAGGTGACAGAGCAGTATTGGTGCAAACCTCTGGTTCTGGCTGCACAGCAAGAAGTAAAGATTTTTAAAAACATCAGAAGAATCTGTGTGTGTACGTACATACATTATATATACATACACGCACATATATGTTGCTCCTTCCATTGCAGGCTCCCATGGTGCTTTGCAAGCAATGCTAAGTATAGCATCCCAGAGGCAGATAAATATAATGATTGCAATTTCAGAGTGAGTTAAACTGAGAAACTAGTAGAGAATGTGACTTCTCTGAAGACGGTGTGAGGAGAACTGAAGTCTGGGTTTTGATCTTCAAACCACATTCCTTGAGCTGTGTCCTTATTCATACCATATCATGCAGTCGAAACAGCTCTGACATCTGAGGCAACAGAGATCCCAAACTGCAGCTTGCTTACAGTTTGTCAGACTCTCCTGGTTGTCTTCAGTATATGACCGAGTGCCTAAATCCAAACCTGTCCTTTTGAAGCAGTGAGAGACTTGTCTCCCTGGCCAGTTGCATCCTTGCTGGGCAGAGGCCCCTCATGGAGATTTTAGCCCTACAGCTCCCTTGGCAAGCTCTTGTTTCCTGTTGATGGACACGTCTCTGCTGAGCAAAATGCAGAAGGTCCTCTCAA